CTTCCTACAGCGTGTCTGTGTGTACAAGTAAGCGCGCGAAGATGCGTCACCGAGGGTGAGAACTTTATAATAGAAAGATTGAAGTGAAGGTTTAAATGGGTGTCGTCTGTCGGCGTTTGTGAATTTAATAATTTATAACAAGTGTTTCTATGGTTGTTAGCAATTAAGAATTTTATACAATACAGAGTATGAAATGTATAATGTGTGCACGCAGTATAGTATCTGTCGCGGGTCGTTATGAATTTAATATAATTCTTTTGAAATGTAACGCATTTACTTTTATTATTGACAGTTTAAGTTAGCACGTAACAATTAATAATTTATAACTGTGTACGTTGGTTTTGAATAAATAAAGCAGAATATTGAATTGAAATGGTTGTGATAATAATTTTATAGTTATTATGAATTTGCATTTTTCAATTGATTATTACAATTATTTATATATATTATACGTATGGTCCTCGCGTTTGTCTATTTTCCAATAGACCGGTTTCTGGTTCGGTTAGTGTTAAGTGTCTCGTCTTAATTCAGTGGGGATTCAGGAAGATGAGTAAAAGAGGTGTTTAATGGATACGGGCGCTGCGGTGTAGAAAGAGAGAGAAGATATCGTCGGGCTGCGTCGCGCTTGCGGTGCAGCTGTCCGAGCGCTCACGTATACCGGCTGTGCGTATGTGTGTGCGTACGTGTGACGGAACTCCGTTGTGTGCATCATTCAGGCGCGTCGCCTGTCATATTGTATGTATAAGCGCGTGCCGCGTTGTACGTGAGGTTATGGGGGAAGTCTACTGTAAAATTTTCAAAAAATCAATTTTTTGTTTATTGGCTTAAAAAATACTTTGAACCCTCTAAAATAAGGTACATTAGGTGTACCTTATAGGTTATAGCCGGCTAAATTTTTCTTCATTGAAATTTCGACCTTTTACCAAAGCGCCCCGAAACGCGTACATGCGGCAAATTCCTATCTGTTCGGCGGGTACAGCGTAGTGACTTGCAATTCAATTTCTAACATTTCTAATATTCCAAGTCGATCACCAGATGTCACTAGGTATATTTTGTAGTCAGTTAGAAGCGATTTCAACAGTAAGGACGCCGGTAGTGCGTAATTTTAAGGGCCATTGTGTCGAAC